AAGGGTGGCCTTAGGAATGACCCCAGGCGTACTACGTACGCTGGTGCACTGCCAAATACATATGTATGCACCAAGCCATGCCTTTTGGGCAGTGACCTGGTACATAATTGGCAGTACTCCAGCGCACATAGAACACATGGGACCATTCCTAAGGACACCACATGCACTCGCACACACCACACAAAACGAAACTACTTACGTGCACCGTCCAAAACATTTATATTTTACTAGCAATGTCGACATAGGAGAAGTAATTTATAACAACGTGACAATAGCACACAGCATGTCATTACCATGCATTACTAAATTCAAGTCAATTGAGACGAACAAGTCAACAGGTGAACATGCATCACAAAGTTACCAATCTGGAAGAGATCAGATTGTATCTCGAACTCCTACAAAATATACAGTTACATCTACATTGTACTTCAAATGTACCTAGCTACATGATTGTCCAGTGTACACATAGACCACAAGTAAACTGAAAGCAATGCGAACAAAATCTCAGATGTATGTGAAAAAGTATCATTGTTCCGAATAAGAACACTTACAATGTACTCTCAAAACTAGTCTAATTACTAGTGCCACTTGGTCAAGGATGTTTGCGGCCAACGTTAAGGTGGCACTCTGCCTTCGTGGGCGTACGGCACGTTGACATCCGTAATTTTGGATTGGGTAGAGATAATTACTTCAAATTTTCTACACAAGTTCTCTATGGATATCTGGTCCATGTGCACACCCTTAGGCATGAACAGTGACAGTTAATTCTGAGCATAGCTTGAAAATTCAAAAATGCCCGTATACTTCACTCTTCACCAGAGTGCTGAAAAACTCATGTATAAGATGACCAAAATGTCTACTTGGCAGGCTAATAGAAACATAAATGAAGACATTGAACCAAAGATTAGCAAAATATGCAAATCTCCTACTCAGATAGCTTCGTTACAGCGAAAATACTGATTTCGCGTAAACATTCGTAAACATTCGTCAATATTTCAGAACACCAATACTGGTTATGTCACCTGCTAGGCAGGTAAGCTTTGGTTCAATGTCTAGCCTACACCATGCAGAAACAGAAAATATATACTTTTATGGGTGTACCAGCTACAGGAGAGGCCACAGCCTGGTTAAGAGCCAGCACAGTCATGGAAAAATGGTCAAAAAAGGGACTTCACATTGGGTCCGCAGCAACAAGATCCCGTGTCACAGCACATACCTAGACGCCACCAGCTTCGTATGAGACACCTTCTTGAGCTACTTCCTCTTCCTGGATACCTTTGCGAACTCTTCTTCGCCTCTTCCTCCTCCTCTTGACCTCTGCAGACCTCTTCCTTGCTGCATGCTTCTGTCTGTCAAGCTGGAGTTGACCCAGTGCTGACGCCGTGCAACTGCCAACGGGGAGTCCCATTTCCGTCAGCAACGCTGAGATGGACGCTGGGCCGTCATTGAACCATGCAGCAGCAAGGGCAATAGCCATTTGCACGATCCTGGCAGAACAGAAGCCGGTCTTGGGGCACATCTGCCACACCAAGCCATTGAAGCACTCGTTGCGGTTCTGTGTCGCCCCACGCAAGCATCCATACAGTGAAGCATGTCCACGGCGCATCCATGAGCCATCGTATGTCACGGCTGTCTCACAAGTGACGTCAGGGGGATTGCGAATCTCAGCAGCAGCGATGTCCATGCTCCTCTCCGCCACAGTGTCAGCAGACAAAGCCAAAGACGTGGTATGGCCATGGTAGGAAGACAGGGACATGGGCTTAGGCATGTTGAGGGCCGCACTAAATTTCACCATGGCTTGATGGCCCCTTCCAATCAAGCGCATGCCCAAAACAAATCTTCTGTTGACCTCCAAAACACGATTGAACTTTTTGGACATGGTCTCCGTCTCCTCTGCGTCACATCTGTCACAGACAACACTCAAAGTGGAAGCCAGGCCTTCTCTCTTGGTCTCCTTGAGGGTGACATTGCTATGACAGGCATTACAAGAGACACCAGTTTTTGCAGCAGGCTCTGAAGACACTCCAAGTCGATCAGCCGATATCCGGTGGTCGCTGCTTCATCATCCTGGCTCTCAGTGTCGGATCCTGGCTCAGATTCGCTGCTCTCTTAGGCGGACTCGCTGTCGTCTGTGCTGTGATGGTCTGACTCGGAATTTGAACTGTCTGACGAATTTTCAAATAAATCTGGGAATACATTCTCTATGGGATTGTCGGCTGCCAACTCAGGCGCAGGATGAGGGCATTTCTCTGGCTCAGGCTCGCGGGGCTTCCTGCCATGAAATATCCGTTTCTTTGGACGTCCAGGACGGCCACTACACTGTTTCCTTCCCATCGCAACACCACAAATAACCTCAACATCGAACAAATCAGAACGAAATATTTCGATTTGAATTTTGTCAGATGCGCGTATGGATGTACTGCTGCATGAGTGGTCCGTGCCATGCGCAGATATCTCCAAACTAACCAGAAACCCCATGGGACAAATCCTGTGAAATTTGAGAACGGTACTCTAAACCTGGACGAAGTTATGAATATTATACGTTTTTGATGAAATACTGCAATTTATATTTGAATTTGCAATTGAGTTTCGTTGTGCACTACCTCTTTGAGCGCCTATATCTCTGGAGTGCGTGCATGGAATTCGCTCAAATTTTCTCAGCTGTCGGCTGGGTCCTATGCCAAACGTTTGAGACCATAATCGACACCTATTTCAAAAATTCATTTTTTGACCCTCTGAAGGCAGAGTGCCACCTTAACGCCAAAGCAGCAGCGAAGCAGCTAACTTCCGTACCGCCCAATAGGCAACACTAACACGAAAATGCAAAGCCATATTCCTGGAACTGCAAGTAAATCTGACACAAAACGTTCTATCATTCCACGGAGAAAGCTCCTTCCGATCTTGTTCGACCCTTCATTCATATGACAGCTGATTGGAACCTTCCTCCTCCCTTGACCATGTTTACCTTATTTGTCTACAACTAGGCACGTGGCATGTATGAACTATAATAAACACATGGTGCGTCGTGCATTATGGCTGATTGTATGCCCTAGTGCGTAGCCCTCGGTCGTGCACCGTAGCCCGCGGGCCTGCGGCCCTTGGGCTACGGTGCACGACCTCGGGCTACGCACTAGGGCATAAATCAGTCATAATGCCCTCCGTAGAGGGGACGGTTTCAAATAGGACACCGGTTGCAAACCGGAACGGACTCAATATTCACTTTCTCTCTTGGTATTTTGATTAGAAAACATATGTCACAGTGAGACTACGATGTGTTATACTCCGAGCCAAAATTTCATGGCTCTGCGATGACCAGAAGCGCCATATCAAGCAGGTGAGTTTTTGACGTGTTGCTTCGCACTGCGACTTGAGTTTTACGACTTTCGAAAAATCAACTTCTTGTCGCAGGTAAACAGCGGCTCGCCTCTCGCCAATAAAGCACCGCATACCAATCAAAACTAATGGAAGCACACACAAGGCTTATTGTTACTCTGTACTGGCCGTCGTGGAGCGATAGCAATTACCTAATTTCAGAGCCAGAGTGAATTTGACGTGCACTCTAAAACGTGTCCGGTTTGGAGCCACCTCTGATTTGAACTTTTTTGAAGCAAAAAATTGGGCAACTTGGAGGCAATGGGTCAACACAAAGAATTGGCTCAGTTCGATTGACTCTGGCCCCAGAGCAAACTTCAACATGCCAGTTTCCTTGCACAAACATATTTCGAGTGAAAAATCAACGCTGATGATCGGTTTGGGTCTATACAAATTTGGCTGTCAAAACGTCCCGGTATCGAGCCGTCCCCTCTACCATGTGTTATTATATACATCAGTATTTGACCCGGGTCAACTGTCTTCATGTAAACGCTCACCTCTTTTGTCTATCGTACAGACTTTCAACCCGGGCTGAACTCGACCCGGGTTGAAATTTCTCATGTAAACACAGCCTATATAAGGGCTGCAGAAACTTGAGAGCGTGTACCATGGTGTACAGGAGTTTGTATATGACGATGCACTGCGCAACGAAAAACAACTACTTTTTTGTAGAGAGTATCAAGAGGGTGGGCACTGTTGCGTACACTTCCAACGGGGTCGAGCACGTACAGTACGGCACCAGAGACGCGACAGAGATACGAGAAATCACGTCCCCGAAGTCAGAGAGGGGCGGAAAGGAGAGACGGGGCGCGCTGCAGATCTGGCGGGATTTTACGGTACTACTACGAGTACTATTAAAAATAATATTTTAGTAGTATTTATATTATATTCATGTAGTGCTGGTACTGTACGTGGTGAAACAAACGCAAAACCGGGTTTGCACTATGTGGCTTATGATTCATTGTTACTACTTTTCTTCTGTTTGTACTAGTGTTTAGCGCTTTCGGGGGTTATCATTTTCTCTTCTTCTTTTAGCACCAAGTTATAGTTAATATTTAAAAAAAATTGTTGTTTAGTTTATTCTCGCAGAATTAGAAGGTACATGTACTGCACTGAGAGCCCGAACGTGCGGACCCCAAAAGTGGTTTGTGCGACTCCTAGGCCAGGTACGAGCTCTGCAAGTACATGCCAGTTTTGGATGACTTCATACCAAGTGAACTCTTTGTACCGTACGGACTTCAACAAATGCTACAATTTCCATGTGTTTTCCTTTGACTTGATCATTGTATTGAAAGCTGCAGTGCTGGTCAAAAAAAAAACAATTTCCACGTATGGAATCCACGTGCTTGTGTGTGTGTGTGTGTACGTGTGACTGTGTGTGAAAGGAAATGGACTACAAAAAAGTACGAGTATGCGCTTGTACGTTGATTTTTGTGCGTTAATTCAAATACTAATTTTATATTCATCACACTCAAAACTGTACCAGGCCGGGAGTCGTAAAATACCGTATTTTTTACATGATACAGATAGTGTAAAAAACAACAGAAAAAATGATAAGGCACCCATTTTGATAATCCAGGGGATGGCCCACGCCTGGTACTGCACTTGGCGCGTACAAACTACGAAAATGTGCAGAACACAAAGTTCGTGCGAAAATTCGTACACACTTTCGCAAGGCCTGTCGCGAAACTTCGTTCGAACTTTCGTTGTGCAGAACCTCTCTAATGAAGCGGGACATTCCAACATTGCAAGTAGGAGAAAGCCACGATTGGCGATTCTCGCCCCAAAGTTAGAGGAAACTGTGTTACTACTCCAAGTAGAGAAAACTAACTCAGCTACGACTACAAGCTAGTTGGCAATGGCAGCGTCTAGTCAGCAGAATTCTAGTTTGGAGTTTGCTCGTGTCCTTGGAATCATCACACTCATATTGATGCTTAGTCGTTGCTGTGCTCACGTGGATGCGGAGAGCAGGGGCAGCAACCATGCTGATATAGCTGTCGAGGCTCGAGAACGTATCAGCAAGATGACGGATGAGTATGAAGTAGTGCATATCGACATGGCACAACACCTTAGTGATGTTGAGCATGCCAGCAATCGTGGCAAGAGAGATGCCACAGCACAAGGACAACATGATGATCAGTCTAGCAGTGAGCATGTACATGTACACCATCCGCCAACCAGCAGCTTCCAAATACGGGCATTTGGAAAGACGGTGACATTAGATCTGAAGCAGAACACTGAGCTGATTCCTGCTTCGTTTAAAGTCTTCACATTCAATTCAATCGATGAGAGTCCTGTGATTACTCGTGGAGCAGTCAACTGTTATTACCATGGGACAGTGCGTGGCTTGCAGAACGTCAGTCATGCTCAGTCCACCCTTCACAAACACAGGAAACGGCAGCAAAGTAGTACTGATGCCAGTGAAGAGAGCAGCACCGCTGTGATATCTACATACGTCGCTGTGAGCACATGCAATGGTTTGAGTGGATCATTTGGTTTTGAACAGTATGCTGGCCATGGAGAAGAGGATCCAGCCAGAGCTAGCAGCAGCAACAGCAGTAGCAATGAGCAAGTTAAAGCGTACTCTGAAAGATATATGATTGAACCACTGGTCAGCCAGACATCTAAACCTGGTACGTATCCACACGCCGTCTTCAAAGAATCCACATACAAGATGAGCAAAGAAGATCCGTTGAAAGGAGGGTGTGCGACACACTTGAATATATCAGCTACAAAGAACACCAGCAGAGGAACTGCAGGTGAGAAGCAGCGGTGGGATTTTCCTGATGACGGGTTGGCTGGTTTAGCTTCAGCAGCACGCAAACGTGTGAAGAGGAGTAGCAGTACAGGAGGAGGACGAGATCCAGCAATGTATGTGGAACTTGCTCTGGCTTCTGATTACTCATATACTAAAGCATATGGTGGTCTTAGTCTAGATGGCTCCAAAAACTTTGTTGCATCAATGCTGAAGCTTGTAAACGAGGTCGATATTCGTTTTCAGGAGCTTAATGTCCGTATTATCCTTGTAACTATCTTCATATTTACTCAGTCACCTGGCCCTTTGAACTTGGATGGAGATTCAGGGATTAACAATCTCAGAAAAGTGCGTCTATTTTCAGCACAACACCTCCAGCCAATTGTTCACTATGATATGATTCATTATTTCAGCGCTCAGCGGCTGACAAGTCCTGGAATTGCCGGGCGTCCTTTTATCGGTGATATTTGCAACAACTACCGTCAAGGATTGGAAGGACAAGAAACGCGTTATCCTATCCATGCAGGCTTGCTTGCCCATGAGATTGGCCACAATTTGGGATTTAAACATGTTTTCCCACCGTGCGCTTGTAACAAGCCTGGCTGTTATAGCACAATGTCTATAGGTTCCGGTTCAGTATGGTCTAACTGCACAATTGATTGGTTTAACAAACAGCGATCAGATCCAAGCAGGAAGTGTTATCTGAACAAGCCCTCACCAGCGCTCTCCAACGTGGTGTGTGGAAATGGCATTGTGGAGGCAGGCGAAGACTGCGATTGCGGCCTGCACCAGTACTGCAAGGATGCCTGCTGCAACGCAACAACATGCCGTTACACACCCGGTTCCCAGTGTAGTCTAGGTGAATGCTGTAGTAACTGTACTATCCTGCCAGCTGGCACACTCTGCAGGCCGGCCAAAGGCCAATGCGACCTGCCAGACTACTGTGATGGAAGACAAGACAGGTGTTCAGCAGATGACCTCGCACAGTTCGGGGCATACTGTGAGGCAGTAGGTCAGCCTGGCACTTGCCGGCAGGGCTCGTGCGGGAACATTGATACGCAATGCCACGAATGGTTCCCACCCTCTCCGGGTAATCCCGCTATAGCTATCTCCTCTGCAAGGTGCTCCAAATTGAATAATGTAGGTAGCACTAAGGGTAACTGTGGTTTAAATAGCAGGAAAGAACCTATTCCTTGCAAGCCAGAGAATGCTTTGTGTGGTTCTCTCACGTGTGGTCACACTAGTCTAGGGTTCTGTCACATACAACAGCTGTATCTTTTTTTCGATAATCGTCCCACTGTGTATGTGGATAATGGCAGCCCGTGTGGCAATGGTTTAGCCTGCTGGAACAAGGAATGTGTGAACACCTCCATACTGCAGTCTGGTGCCTGGAGGTGTCCTCAAGCTAATGGACTCGGCTGCTCGGGTAATGGCGTATGCACACACAGGAACGTGTGTCGCTGTGAAATTGGCTGGCAAGGCACTAACTGCAATCGTCAAGCCGGTACACTAGACGCAGGCCTATCAGGTGGCAGTATTGCTGGACTTGTTATCGGTCTGATACTCGCATCACTGTTGTGTGCCGCCTTTATTGCACTTTATCTCAAGCGGAAGCAAAATGTGGCCATCGCTCGAGCAATACCACGACCTTCACACCACCGTCATTTACGCGTTGCCTCCGAAGAGAGAACCAGAGACCAACCAGGCGCTACAGACGGTCATGGTGAAGAGCGCATGGGGAAATCAGTGACCTCTGCAGATCCGGGTATACCTGACTCTGGGCCAAACATCATCGGCCAGGCACCTGGTCGACCAAGTCAACCACCAACCAGGCCTGCTCGGCCATCTGCACCCGCTGCATATACAAATGACTATGCAAGTTAGCCCAGTTACACCCCCTGCACATTTTTAAGTAAACACATGTGAAAGTTTTGTAACAAACTCTCACCGTTCTCTTCTCTGACCTCCTTAAGGCCTTCATGCATTATCCCCTGTACACTTTACACCTGGAATAGTTTTTACTCGGTTTTAACAATTCGTGACACAGATATTCTTTAGGTGTTTTGAAATCACTTTTTTGTGCCAGTAGGTCACGTGATTATGTGGTACCAGGTATGCGTACTATGAATAGGCCTAATTATGATGCAGTAACGTTAGCGAATTAGTGTCACGTACAAGTAGGTCTATATTAATGCTATCCCCTTTTGCTAATGCGCGCCATACTTGCAAGAACAGCAATGTCACGTACCGCAAAAGAATCGATATATCAGTATACTAACTATACTTGTGTGCAATGTACTTGTAGTAAACCAGTATACCAGTATAGCAGTATACCAGTATACGGTGTTGGAGTTAGAGAAGTGAAGTGTTCTACATTTGATATTCTCAAATGTAGCAATATAAAGCAGAATTAATGCGGATATTGAGCATACATGTAGCGATGAAACGTGATATTCTACTTGGTCCGCGTCAGCGATATTGTCGCTTATCTTTCAGCTTTGTTTATATGTCGCCAAAGCTCACTCGGCAGCCCATTTCATCCCAAATTTGGTTAGTAAGTTAGTTTACTAGTACCTGAAAGGCTACAGTTCGAGTAGATTTCGAGAGCGACGGGTGGTCGATTCTGATTGATACAGCCCCGAATCAAAATAGATTATCTTGTTACGCTGTGCAGGCAAGAGCAGCGCAAGCCACAAGAAAGTAATCGGCTACTCGGAATCAGCTCCATTTTGCTGAACGGCCGAGATCGCTCACCTCAGGGATCGCTCGTCAAGCTGAGATCTCAGCACCCTTACCTCCAACTCAACGCTCGGAGTATCCAGCGCGTCGTGGAGATTTGCAAGTACTGTACGCGTCGTCGTCGTCGTTCAAAATAAATCTTGCAAAGAACGGCGTCTGATTTGAACCACACAGGCTGTCGTACTGCCCACGCGAAGTCCTATAGAGAAGGCGACGATCACGATCGACTTCTGTTTAGAAAATAGCCAGGCAGCGGAGAGGAAGAGAGATGAGCTTGCAAAAGCAAGAGAGTCGAACCCGAGCAAAAATATTTGTCACCAGCGTCGAGAGCAGCGACGAAGAGGACCGAAAAAAGTAGGAACCCTTCCTTGGACAATAAATTCCTTACAGCTAGTTGTCATTCTGTACCTTACCGTCCATCGTCCCAAGTTTTATCACACCAAGTGCACGCGTTCATGTCCAAAGTCTAAGTTCAAATTGTCGAAAGATAAGCGACAATATTGCTGACGCGGACCAAGTAGTATCGCTAGGTTCAATAAGAAAGTTGTGGAAGAAAAGGCGGTTTGTCAACTGACAACCGCTCTATTCAGTTGCTATTCACAATCTGCGTTTGCGCTGGATTAAAAATTCTTCATTGTGATGTTGATAAATATGGTGGTAAAGACACACCTGGCAATATGGCGGTAAACACACGCCTGCCCACACACGCCCTCTAGGCTGCAAAGTTCTGGCACAGAGCTCTCCTTCTCACCACTGCCACCATCAGTTCGCGCCTGGTGCCTGGTCGATGCATGGCTGGCGGTATCCAGCATAGCAGGCTGGTACATCAAGTAGCGCATGGCACATAGATGATGACACAGCAACGACATAGCTCGATTGCGACGTACGTTTCGTCCCCGCTGGACTCATCAGGCAATCTTCTTCTTGGATGTCTTCATACGGAGCTTGACTCGGGAGAATGAAGTTGAAGACACATTGTGATGTTGGTATAACTATTGGCGTTCGTTGCATTTCTAACACTGAAGTAGTATGCACACAGAGTGCTTAGAGTTTTCGAATGCGGCGAAAGCAGAGTGTAGTAGACACTACAGGAGTGAAGCAAAACTGATTTGTTGTAATGCTGCCTGACTGCCTGCCTATGCTGCCTGATGATTGCACTGGGCAATGAACCAGCCTTGTACCACTGGTGTACTGTGTGCAAAAATGTATAGTGAGGTGAACTCATAAAACAGTGAGCCAAAAAAATACGATTATCGCCCATCTCCCGAGCCACACACATATCCAGGCACAGTACTGTTTGGGGTTTGGGCGCTTGTATTTGAACGCCTGCCACAACCGTGTGACAGGCGGATAGACATCATTGGCAAATGTGCATATCACGAGGTAATTGCTGCTCAAAAAAAAAAACCTCAAAGAGCGCAAGGGCAAAGAGTTGCTGTTGTGCCAACAAGCAGGAGACAAGAGTGCCCTCAACCTCCTTGGTCCCGCGTGCGATCGCCCCATGCTGAAAGGGGCAGCCAGGGCGGCTGTGCGTACAGCCCCGCTGGTTGCTGCGCCGCCTCGGCCACGTGGCCGGCTTGCTCGGTCCACGGCGATAACCACGGTTTGCCCTACTGCAAACCTACATTTAAAAAGCCGATTCACAAACCAGGTAAAGACAGGAAGAGAGAAAGAAAGATGTGTGCGCATCTACCCTGCACCCGTGAATGCACACACACACAAACACACACACAAACACACACACACACACACACACAAGGGAGTTGATAGGTGGAGAATTGCGAAAACAGGGGACCCAGTGTGCCCTCAAGGAGATAAAGAGATATAGATAGAGAAATATCATTGGCAAAGTATATTCGGCCCTGGTTTAAATCTGGCTTTGGAATTTATTTTTCATTACAATCAGGTTCGGCCTCATTTCTCTGTGCTGTGCTAATGAGTCCACAAAGGACGAAACAGTTCTGTCCCCAGATTGGATAAATAGATAGATATAGATGAAGATAGATAGAGAGAGAGAGGGGGGGGGGTGGAGAGAGAGAGAGAGAGAGAAAGAGAGAGAGACATAGGCAGCTGTCTTGGTCATTATCATCCGATGTATTCCGTGTGGCGTAGACCAGGTGTGCATTGAGAATTCTTTCACAAGGCCTCGCAATAATTATAATTATGAAACTGGGCAGTAATGTGGTGCTAGTCTTGATATGTTTCACTTAGGTCATGTCTGATATAGTTGGCACAAGAGAAAATCAGTGGGTGTACATCCACTGCACTTGCAGACTTGCGTGTCTCTCTTGCGACGGATGCACATGGTACTTAGTCTCTGTGTCAGTTGGCTCATTCTGCGGGCGAGTGGTCAGTGCCTGAGTTCAATGTTGGAAAAGGTAAGTAGCTCTAGAGTGCAGTATAGAGAAAGTTCTGCCAAATACGCGGTCAATAGGAGAGACTATACCAGCAACTTCGACTCATAATTATACTTCAATATCTAATTGGATCTGTAAAGAAAACGCTGCTCAGTGGTATTGGAGTTGTGGTTGATCAACAGCGTATCTTTTAGGTACATGTGGCATCCATTGGTCTTGCTTGAGTGACAATAGGCATGCAACCGGACAACGTTGGTGAAAGGTTTCATTACCAAAGAACTTGATTGGTTTGCCATTTAGCTTCCTGTGTGGCGTGACATTGTTTCCGTGGACTGGTTTAGATTCTTGCCCACGTTTCCAGGAGTTCAGCCAATTAATAGCAGCCGAAGCTATTTGAATAGCCAGATTCTGTCTTCTTATCTGGTCTGCACTCCATCCGCTTGCATCAGTAAGCAATGCAAACGCGTTGTCCCTTGCACAGGCACGTGACTTCTGCAGGCAATTCTGGGAGAGCGTAAAGTGGCAGGACGAAGTACTGTGAAGTTGCAACATGACCTGAGTATAATCGTAGCACATCAAGTCTTGACACTACTTGTGACATGATCAATTCTGCTATGCTCTAATGCAGACTAGCAATACGAGGCATTTGTCAGATACTAGTAACAAGAGTACAAGTAGGAAGTAACGAGCGGGTTCTGGGACAGGGGGCGCCCGGGTCCCAAAAAATGGGGTATTATTGAAAAATGGGGTACTAATAGTACCCCATTTTTGCGGTGAAAATTATTTTTGGCCCGGTTTTTTTGCGGATAAAAATATGTGCCAGGGGGTGCCCCTACCTCAAAAAAAAAGGGGGTATTATTGAAAATATGTATTGGGGTGTTATGCTCTACCCTAAACAATAAGGTAATATGGTGTCATGATTTGGAATTCTACATGTATCATTAATTTTGATTTTTAGGGTGTGGGTAATATGTCCTACCCTACATCATAATATTGCATTCCGATGTCTAAAATATTACTATTTCAAATGTCAATGTTATCTCACTTTTTCCAATTTTATATTAATCAGAACTCATAGTTTTGCAGTATTTTGACTTGTAATTTCAATTTTTCGGATCATTTTCCTTTATTACTACAAGAAAATAAATAGAACTTCTCTACATATGGTTCGGAGGTTGACCAGGCCGACATCTTTGATCTGATAGAGAGAGAAATTCTGGAGACGGTACTCGATCATCCAATGGACTCAAAAATGAATTGTGAACCAAAAATGAAATTATATCAGGTTTTATAGGTCCCGCCAAGTCCCGTCCCGCCGGGTCCCGCCTCCGGGAAGGTGACGACCTTGGAGAACACGGTGAACACGGTGCGCGCCAAAAACCAAAACGTTGCTCGCGACATGCCGTGTCTTTTTTTGTTCGGGTTTGGAATCTTTCCATTGACATAAGTCAATTAGTTTTCCATCTATGTCCGTAATCGAAAGGTCCATGAGGTGTAGAATATTTCTAGCTTTCCTCTCGTATAATTCTTTTCGACATACAACAATTCTTTCTCGAACTTTTAGCTGCTGGAATACCGGATTCATCTTGACCTCAGATGCACAGATCAGGCATCCATGCATTGACGTCACAGTACATCATTGCAGCACTGATTTCACTGTGAAGTGTGGAACATGGGTCAATGCGCGATAAAAGGATGAACGTGATTTCAGCGGGAAGTGCGCTAATTGGTCACATGTTTTCAGCGGGAAGTGCGGTAAGTGGTTAATTGTTTCCAGCGGGAGATGAGTGGATTGGTTAATTGAAAAACAACCAGTTATTCCGAATTCAACTATTACGAAAACCCTATAAAAATAGGTCCTCGGTACCTTGTCAAGCCATTGTGTGGTTGTCCGCCACCACCCCTGCTCAGGATGGAACCCCTTCGGAAGAAACCTCGTCAGTCTTTTGATGTAGTGAGATCATCTGATCTGTTGCAATTCTTTAGTTATTGTCCTGATCAAGAGTTTGCAGATGTACTAAAGTTTTTCTCTCATGTTCTACCGTCGCTGGAGCTGCTTCTTGAAGAGAATATTGAGCAATGGGGTCAGTACAAGTGTTCTTTGGTAGTTCAGGTGGTGATGCAGAAGCTGAATCCTGCTACAGGACAAATGGTTTCCAACACATTCTTCTTCCGATCGAGTACAACGCTGGTGCTCAACACCATGGAGCTGAGGGACCTTCTCAGTACAATGATTGCTCAGATCAACGCTCGTCTTGATGATTTCGTTCGTCATGGATCAGGTTGGGTAGTTGAACGGATTTCCTGTTTACACATCGAAATGTCACGCTATTGTGTACTTGGAGGAAGTTCGTACATCCCCTTGCCACCGGAGTTGAAGTCGAAGAAGGCCATTGTTAACGTGCAGAACACTGACAACAAGTGTTTACTGTAAGTATAGCAGTGGGGTTTCAGTGTTGTGTTATGGTGTATGGATTGAACTGTATGCCGCCTGTCCATGTCTTATGTCATCCGTACTTTAGATGGTCAATACTGGCTGCTAAATTTTCGGCAGACAAGTCTCGTCCATGTCGTCAATCGTCGTACGCAGAACATGCGGATACTGTGGATGTGAGCGGCATCGAGTTTCCAGCAAAACTGGAAGACATACCAGTCATCGAAAGACTGAACGAAGGTCTTTACATCAACGTCTTCGGATATGAAGAGAAAGTCATATATCCGTTAAGAATTTCTCAGCAACCGCAGTCCGCCATCAATGTATTGCTCATCCAAGACGAACGCAATGACGTGGAGGTGCAGCACTGGGTGTGGATAAAGTCATTCAGTCGTCTTGTTGCTACTGGAGCACGTCGAGCACATTTCGTCTGCTTCAGATGTCTCTCAACACACGTCACGGAGAAGGCATTGAATAATCATATGATGTACTGCAGTGAACATCCTGAAGCTACGGTGGAGATGCCAAAGGCTGGCGATAGAGTGATGTTCAGGAATGTGAACAAGCAGCTTCAAGCCCCATTTGTAAGTAGAACACACTGTGGTCTGTTTTTTTTTTTTCTTTCTTTACTGCACATGTTTCTTGACTCTGAGTGTTCACCTTTCTGCTGTTTTACTCGGTGTTGTCTCTGCAGCTATTCCTAATTCTCTATCTGTCTTTTCTGCTGTTTTACTCGGTGTTGTCCCTGCTGCTATTCCTACTTCTCTCTCTCGCTCTCTCTCTCTCTCTCTCAAATGCAGGTGATCTATGCCGATTGTGAGGCTTTCATAGAACCTCTGTCCGCTGACAATAAAATCGGTCATTCGACATTCCAAAAGAACAAGCATGTAGCCTGTTCCTGTTCGTACATTGTAGTACGATCTGATGGCGTCGTCACGAACCGTTTCTTCTACCGTGGAGAAGATTCTATGTTCTGTTTTCTGCTGTCACTTGAGCAAGAGGAGGAGACTATCCGTGATGAGCTTCTAGCATGTAATGCTGGTCAAATGATCATTTCAGAAAGTCAGCAACGTGAATTTGAAACGGTAGTCTCCTGTTGGATCTGTGGTGAAGCGTTGGGTAGCGATCGTGTACGTGACCACTGTCACATCACCGGTGCTTATCGTGGTGCAGCACACAACCATTGTAACCTGAACATGCGGATTGAGCCGTTCAAGATCAAGATTCCTGTGATCTTTCATAACTTGAAGGGATACGATTCTCATCACATCATATCTGCCATTGGGAGAACGTCCATTGATGAGATTACGTATGTGAACGAGAAAGGACAAGAACGGGTACGTTACATATGCGTGGTGTGTGTGTGTGTGTGTGTGTGTGTGTGCGTGTGTGTGTGCGTGGATCATGATGTTTTTCTAAGAAGGAAGATCATTACTATGTTGGTACTCATATTCACGTTTATATGATTGATATTCATCTTTACAGCTGCACCTTAAAACTGTGTCTCCTCTTTTTCTTTCTTCTTCTCAGACCAAGCGTCTCGGTGCTATCAACGTGATTCCCATCAACAGTGAAAAATATGTCACATTCGGATGGAGACAGTTCCAGTTCATCGACAGCCTGGCATTCTTGAACACCTCCCTAGACCGGTTGGTTTCGGCTACACCACCAGATGCATTCGCCCTTCTATCCGCACGATTTCCAGACGAGGATGAACGCAAACTGTTGACACGAAAGGGTGTCTACCCGTATGAATATATGGAGTCGTACGACCAATTCGAAGAAACGCGTCTACCACCCAAGGATGCATTCCACTCAACGCTAACGAACACGGTGAGTAGTGTGACAGATATAGTAGATCTTTCTCTCTTTCTTTTTTCACCATCTTACTTCGAAGTACTAAAATAAGCCAAAATGTGTTTGAACGCTTCCTGCAGCTTCATACTAAATAATTGATTGTGTGGGCGAACTACTAAAATAAGTTCGTTGATTTGTTTTTCTTTTTGGTGTACATTTTCTATTCCCTAGGGTATCAGTGATGAAGATTATGCCTATGCGCAAACAGTATGGACTGCGTTTGACTGTGAAGATCTAGGAGACTATCACGACCTCTACCTGGAGACTGATGTGCTGCTGTTGGCTGACGTTTTCGAAAACTTCAGAAGAACTGCTCACGCAACCTATGGATTGGATCCCGCTAATTACCTCACCTTACCGGGATTTGCCTGGGATTCGCTGCTGAAAATGACGAAGGTGTCCCTTCATCTCATTTCCGACATTGACATGTTCAACTTCATTGAGCATGGCAAAAGAGGTGGCATAAGCATGGTGTCCGCTAGACACGCCACCGCCAACAACAGATATCTATCGGAATACAATCCAGACGAGCCGTCAAGCTTCATCCAATATTTAGATGCGAACAATCTATATGGATGGGCCATGTCTCAACCCTTGCCCGTGTCGGACTTCTGCTTTGAAGCAGTGACGGATGATCTTCTGGAGTCGGTACTCGATCATCCAATGGACTCTTCGACGGGATACATGGTGGAGTGCGATTTAAGGATTCCAGATGGTGTGCATGACATGATGAATGATTATCCGTTGGCTCCTGAGCAGATGAAGGTGACACGAGATATGCTTTCTCCATATCAGACCCACATGGCAGAGAAACTAATGGTAAGTCATGGTCTATCTGGTGGATATGCTTGTATTAATCTTCTAAGGTTTGTGTATATCTATACTGTACTCTTGTAGGTGAGCGGTTTGGAAGCGAAGAAACTGGTGCCAAATCTACTACCGAAAGAGCACTATGTTCTGCACTACAGAAACTTGCAGCAGTATGTGTCCTTGGGTGTGGAGATTACAGATGTGCATCGTGTGCTCTCCTTCACACAACACCCATGGATGAAGCCATACATCGACACTAATACTGACCTGAGAAAGCTATCAACTTCTGATTTCGAGAAAGACTTCTATAAGGTGGGTACTCCACTTCATGTGTGTGTGTGTGTGTGTGTGTATTTAGCGATAGTGTGGGATCTAGTATGTACTGGAAGTGTGAATGACCTGAAGATAACAGTTTTCTTATTGTTGTTTTTCTTGTCTTTTCTTTGTATGCCTGTTTATCATAGTTGATGAACAATGCTGTATATGGCAAGACCATGGAAAACGTTCGAAACAGAGTAAACATCAAGCTCATTCGTGAACAGGATGAAAAACCACGTCTCCAGAAAAGCATCAACAAACCTTCGTACATCCGCAGTGTAGCCTTTGAGAACGATCTGATAGCAATCGAGTTTGCCAGGACAAAGGTGACTCTCAATAAACCCATTTATGTGGGTACAGCCATCCTCGATCTGTCGAAGCACTTGATGTATTCCTTTTACTATGAAGTTCTCCTACCCCGCTATGGACAAAATGTACGTTTGCTCTACACTGATACTGATAGTCTGATCGTACATATTCAAACCGATGATCTGTACACCGATATGTCAAACAACATAACAGCCTATGACACATCCAACTATTCACCATCCCACCACCTGTACAGCACGGTCAACAAGAAGGTGGTAGGGAAGTTCAAGGACGAACTAGGTGGCAAACCCATCAAGGAGTTCATTGGTTTGCGGAGCAAGATGTACGCATACCGCTGTGAAGACAACGACGACAATGGCAAGCGTGCCAAAGGTGTGCAGAGAAGCGTGTTGAAAAACACCATAACCGTCGATGATTATCGAACATGTCTCGTCGAGGAGTCTCAGCTGAAGAGAACAATGAATGTTCTTCGAAGTCGACGACATTGCATTCACGGAGAGGAGCTACGCAAGATTGCCCTCAGTGGATTCGACAGTAAGCGTTACATTCTGGAGGATGGTATCAACACCCTGGCATTCGGACACAGGGATATTCCAAAGCACTGAGGGATTTCCACACATACTAGAGCATATGTCATATCTTCTCATGAAATACATTGTAAATACTATGCGATTCATAATATTCACGTTAATCCAAAGCATGAGCTACATTGTACATATGAAATGCTAATACTTTTTGAGATCATTCACATCCTTCTTTGTTAACCAGGTATGGAATTTTTCGTCTTGATAACCCCTCCATTTGACGAGCCCACTGTTCTTGTTGTATTTCAACACCTTATCGAATCTCAATCCTGTGTGTCTGGCATGTTGTAGCTCAGCTCCATAGAACTGTCCTTGAATGACTTCTCCCATCAGGTCTTGAACACGATAGGTGTGGGGTACAGTGGGTAGGACATCGTTTACCACGAACACTTCCTCTGTCCAGTTGGGCGTGTACCCTTTCTCGAAATGACGTTTAGCTACAGCCAAACGCACATCATCACCCACTTTGAATTTTGCTGGTGATTGCTTCGAGTGTACGTCTGCATCTTTTGGTTTTCCATCAAGAGAAGCTTTCGTGGGACTCATGCCGATACTGCGATGTTTCGAGCTGTTGTACTTGACCATAAGCTGAGGAAGGACGTCAAGATACTGTGTCGTAGCTTTCTCCGTGAAATGGCGCCACATTCTGCCTTTCAGTGTTCTATTGAAGCGTTCCACCACCACGGCTTTTCCTTCGTTGTGGGTGCTGTACATGATGATGTTGTGATCCTTGACCCATTGCTTCATTGTTGCATTGTAGAACTCCTTGCCTTCGTCTACCCATAGTTTTTGTGGTACCCTGTTCGATGTTTTCAGGATCATGTCGAATGCATCCCTGACAGCAGAGCCAGTTTTGGTTTTCAGGGGTACTGCCCAGGCATAGCGACTGTACAGATCGATGACGGTCAGCAGGAATTTGTAGTTCTTGTTGCTTCGGGCAAACCGTTGCATATCCACTAGATCGGCACTCCAGATGTGATCCACAGACCTGCTCTTCACCTTGCGTCTTTTGAAATGCACTCGTCTGGGTTTGTGCAATTCGTTAGCCAGTTGCGTGTGGAATGGTGTGGACTGCGACTTCTTCTTCTGTCTTCCATCATGAAGTGCTTTTTGCACTTTCGTATCCCACAAGGCTCCACCACCTCGCAAGACACCTAAACTGAGAACCAGTTGATCGTTTTCCAGCTTTTCATCCTCATCGAAGACTCTTCGGAAAGTTCGAAGTGCTTCATCCAGACCATATTTGGAAAATAGCTTTCCCATCAATATGGCATACCATCCACATACTGCTGTGCTTCTGTCTTGAACGGCTTGGGTGTTGGTGATGATCTTACAGTCTGCATAGGCTTCTTTAAAGAAATCGCACAGTGCAGGTTCAGTGTAATCTTGCTCCATAGTGTATAGACTGCGTCCGAAACTGTCAAAAACCAGGATCACGTTTTGCTCGCGACACACGGTCAACCAATGATGTCCACCTTCCGGTGCATCGTACACCGGTAGAACGTTGTCGGTGTTGACGATACAAAAGTCTCCATTGTTCAAGGGTGGTAAGAGGTCGTAACTTGTACACCCCACGAACCCTCCAACACCATTCAATCTTCCTTTGATGTCGGCACTGCTGAGAGGGTAGTCCATTCTTGATCATAGCCTGAAAATTTTCGCGCACGTGATCACATTGAACGTCCACTCAGGATATCCTTGATGATACGAGTGATCCTGCTTTTATCCTTCAGAACCTCTTGAATGAATGATGCATCGTCCACCATCACCTTTTGTGCTCTGATCATGAAATGCTCGGGATGGATCAATTTTGCTTCAGTTGTTCTACCATACGTAGAAGTCATATCGTTGAGATCTTGAAACTTGAGCTGCGATCCTGGTACAGCTAGCACTAGGGTGGCTAGTTCATGAATCTTTCGTTCTGATCGAAGGAATCCATCGACATGTTTGTGGATTCCCACCGCACCCGCTATGGTTGCAAACGGGTACCTGGACATGTAGATGCGATTCGTCTCGTTGACCAGAGTAGTGTAGTCGTTCATCGTCTGCGTCTTCAGGGCATCCGCAGCCGCTTCCACCCGACTCCTGAACCTCAGTCGATCTTCATCGTAGAGTTGCAGCAGTTGTGATCGGCTTGTGAAATAGTTGCTCTTCAAAAAGGTTGCCGGTATATTTGTATGTCGGAGGAAACTGTCCAGGATTTGTAGGATCCATCGGTCAAATTCGTGGTCTTGTAATAGATTGAAAGGCACCGATGTTAAAGGTGCCTTTCTCTTCTTCCTGACATCTGCAACGGAATCGCGAACTTGATCGGTAGTGGAATCATAGTTAAGTATGTTGGATGCAATCACATTTCTCACAGACGGGTAACTGATGTGATCGGGATTGTTTTTGAAGTGGGTGTCATATAGACACTTTACTCGCGGATCAGCTTGCAGTTCCAACAGGGTGGAGGTGCTCAAACTGTGATCTGGCACTTGGGAAAGAACTTTCTTGACGCTTTTCAAGTAGGTATTGTAGTTATTACCTCCTTTTTGCCGCATGAGTGGTGGTATACCGAGAACTTC